AAGAAGGGCATCTGTGTCAAGAAGCCCGGCCTTCCAGCAGCCACCCCCCAGCCCCACACACCTGTGATAAAATATAGTATATTTCCTGCAGATATCTCCTGAAAGAGAAATGTTCTGGACACACAGAAGTTTTTCTTCTTCTTCTTCAAGACTTGCTCCAGAAAAACAAGCTTACTGAAAACTGACTGCAGTTCCAGAAAGAACTTTTAAAAATTCAATCTGAAAGCACTAGGGCCCAAAGTAAAGCTATACATGGTGAAATTCTTCTCTGTATATTTTGGGAACTGACTGAAGCAATCTCAAACTGCTACCTATCATCTTTGAGACTCTGCAGATGTCAGATGAGATTCTAGAAGACTGCATTCAAATATCAACTATCAATGGTTCTCTGTCAAACTGGAAGATTGCAATAAAACCACAAAGGCCAGTCCTGCATCTAATGCTGCCCAGTGCATTGACACTGTCAGTAACTTAGATGATACAACAAAGAGCAACTTATTAAATCTGCAGGTAATTCAAGGCCTGGAAGAGGCATACCGCTGGAGAGGATGGGACTAGAACTCAAAATTGTCTGGACAAATTGGAAAAACACTGGAGTAAATAAGACACATTTCTTCAGAAAGAAGCATAAAGCGTTGTTAGGAATAATCAATTGCAGAAATAGAAGATGAGAACTAACTGGGTGCACAGCAGTTCTGCAGATTTCCAAGAATGTAAAGGACTACAAATTGTTGACAGTATCAGTACTACAAATATAAGCAAATTTAATATTGAGAAGTGAAATACCCAAGGCACACAAAATATATTCTCCCGCTTGTTTGGGCACTAGAGGACAAGAAAAAGGTAGATAATTGGAGTGCAAAGGGAAGAACAGAAAGTAGCAGAGATCTGAAAGATTAAATTTATCAGGGTAGTTCATTTTACTCCATCTAGAGACTAAGTGAGGACATAAATATAGCTGCCAAATACGTTTTAAAAAAAAAAAACACGCTGTTACTAACTGTAAGGAAATGCATATGTTACGTATTTACTCTGGACATATAAGTATCAAACTTTAAAATTCAGTAACAGACATTTAAGGGAAAAAAAACTAACAAAAGGTGTGATCAAGCACTGAAATAGATTGTCTAAGTATGAAATCTGTCATCGGAAACGTAAGAGTATACTAAGTGAAGGCAGTGGCTCCCAAACTTTTCCAGCCAGAGGACCACTGTCAATCAGATCTCAATTCCTCTTGCAGACAGGTACTGAAACAGTAAGCTAGTGTATCTTGCTAGCATATCACTGAATATTTGCTTAGAAAAACATCTGTTAGGAATACTTTAGGCAACAGTCAACCCTGTCTGGCAAAAGAGAAGATACTAAGTGTTTCTCTACCATTTAAATTGGAAGAGCACTCGGCATATTGAAAAGGAATCCATGAATCATTTTATTTCCTAGCGTTCTTCAGGGGCAAAAAAAAAAAGTAATAAATGTTGCTTATGATTTGGTAGAACAACAGAAATAGATAGTCTTGTTCTAATCAGAAACACGTTAAGATAATGATATAGCAATGAACATGACCCTTGACTAGAGCATCAGTGTTTGGACATTTTAGAGGTATTCGAGTAATTTCTTATTATTTCAGCATATTAAGAAAACAAACATGAAAAATAATTGCATAAATGAGTCTTCTTTGCCTTTCACACGCACATTTTTCTGGCGAGCTCTAATCTCATGATTTACTGCTACTAAAAAAAAAAAAAAAGAAAAAAAGAGGTGCTAGCATTTAGCCTGAAAGATCCAAAAGACATACCATTTTAATGTCTTTTTTTTGAAAAAAACCTCCTAAGAATAAGACTTTCCTGCTTGCCACTGGCACTTGACTGAATATGCTTAATTTTCAAATAGGAATATTTGTAGGTCACGTGTATGATATCTGAGAATCAAGAATCAATTCTTTTATCAAACTGATCACTGTCCTAAACTGAACACTGCATCTACGAGAGACCGTTATTTAAGGTCCCAGTGTAGTAAGACAGCAGCGGATACTTCATGACTCAGAAAAAAATCACATTAAAATAGTCTGTAATTGAAAGTCAGGAAACAATTCCTTTGATTATTTCCACTTCATGAAGTAAGACCATTCACTGTTCTGCAGTCACATATATCGAAGAGGAGTCAGTGCTACCAGAGGATAAAAAAAGGTAATGTCCAAGTCTTTTTTAAATCCTATTTTCTATAAACTCAGCGACCTCTTAGTCTTCAAGTCCTCATTCAAATGCGAATATGTTATGTGAATGACTACACAAAAGACCATCACGGGAGCATGTAACGAGCAACAATTTTAAGGCAGGCCAGCTAGGACAGTCACTTAGGAGCATCTTATACTTACATAGCACTGTATGTTACGTAGAATGTAAGTGGAGAGGAAGGACAGATTTATACCTCAGGAGGAAGTAGGGTAGAGCTAGGCAGAAGTTAACACCAGCTTATTTGGTAACAAATCTAACTGTGCATTCTGTTCAATTGTCTGGACTGAATTCACAAAAGCATCTTGAGTCAAGGCTCCAAACTTAGTAGGAGAGAAACAGACTTTGTACAAGGATGAGATAAGCTCCTGTATCTCCTTGAGAGCAGGCCATGCAATCACTGGAGCACAAATACCAAACACCTCTATACGGTTCTGGAGAGAGGGAGAGAAGATGAACAGCTTTTTCTGGAAGAAAATACGTAGTCTATATAAAGAGGATGTAAAACAAAAAAGCAAAGACTGTACTAGATGCAGCTGAAGAAACTACTGTACTAGATGTAGCTGAAGAAACTAGAATTCTCAGCTCATACTGACACTTCTGTGAGATAACTGACTGAACTTCTCCTTGCTGAACGCTTTTTTGCTGAAAGAGAACAAAAATAACCCTCAAAATAAAAAATATAATGGAATTCCCTGAAAAGATTCCAACTCCAAACTTGTAAAGTGTTAATTTTTATTTGGCTAAGCTACTACTGGCCACAAGCACATAGAAATGTCATTTTAGTCAATATGCTTACTCAGCACTCCTCCTACTCAACCTGCAGTGGCGCAGGTTCACACCACATAGAAGTAGGGCGTACCTACACTGATATAAGAGTAGCAGCACTCGCTTACTTTTAGTTGAACCTTGACTATTTTAATATCTAAAATCACCTTAGCAAAACCAAACAAAAAAGTCCCTCAAGACTGCCATGTAAGAACTAAGCACTACTTGAAATTAAGAAACAGCGTTACCAGAATTAATAAAGTTCCTCAAACTTTGAATCAGCAACAATTCTATCAACTCTTTCAATAGCATGTTTTAAGGTTAACTTGTCATTTCTGTGCTTAGTTTCTCCCACTAATACTGAAATTCTTAGTGCTAAAAGGTAATTAGGTGCTTTACTGCCTAAAGTTCCATTCATACACAACAGAGCAACTGGCTTGTAAATGAAAGGGCCTCCGTATCAAATAAAGAGAAGTAATGGCAAACAAGTAACTTTCCTTTTTAATTCTCATATCAAATAAACAGCACATTCAGTTCCACGATCTGGGTTGGGCTGCTTTCCCTCTCTCTCTCTCTCTCTCAGTACAAACATAGATGAAAAGCTTTTGAGACATATGTCCCAAGTATATGAGTTCCAAGTTGGAACTGAGCCTTAAAACAGGAAGCCATTTGTAATAGTTCTTCAGGTAGCCCATACATTCCAACCCTAGATGTAACTGACTTACCTTTTCCCCCCATTTAGAAGTACTATGCTTTCTAACGAAGAGTAGCAAAAACAATGAACAATTAGGTAACGAACTTCAATTCCATTAAGCGACGCAAAACCACTGTTTTACACTGCCCATTTAAAGATGGCCCATTCAAGTTGGTAAGAAACAGTAACAAAGCTGTACTACAGGACCACCTCATTTTTGTTTCTGGAAAGATAGCACATGATCCATGAAAGTGTGACACATGAAAAAGAAATTGCTCTCAAAGATAAAGAAAAAGACACTGATGAAAAGCTGCCCACAAAACAAAAGACACTGGGAAAGACAAAAGATAATAAACAAAGTAATACCCAAGACAGAATGAGGAAAAGACCCCTTCTCTTCCAAAAGCTTTTGAGAGAAAGTATTTACTAATATGTATTTACTAATATAGACAGAGTAGAAGTGGATAGGCTAAAAAAAAAAAAAAAAAAAAGAAAAGGGGAAGGTAAAAAAAAAAAAAAAAAAAAAAACAGTTCCTCCTAACTATTGCAAACAGAACCGTGATGATGGTATGGTGCTATTTTAACAAGCTTCACACAAAACAGCTTAATTACTTCATATACAGTATCTTTTGAAAGTGGACATAAATTTGAAAGGGTATCAGATATTGTCTTAAAAATGTTTTATTTGGAAACTCAATAAATGAGTCAAGTTGAAGTAAGAGATTAAAGCATTGGAATTTTAATAAAGTATCCATTTTACTCCAGCAATACAAAGCATGAATAAGGATAAATCTCAAACTTTGAACAAGATGATTAAAAATGAATGTATTTGTCTATTTTCTGGAAACAAATTCACTTTTTTGTAAAAAAAAAAAAAAAAATTAGTCTTAGCCCACATTTTTATGTAAAACTTCTTTAGATGTCAGTAGACTTTTGACCAGAGTTCTCTCCCTCTTTCTGAGTCAATTTTGTTTCAGTTTTGAGCTGAATAAACCGAAACATAAAGGGTTCACCAGCTCCTTTTTTTTTTTTTTTTGGGGGGGGGGAATTAATCATGGCAGGTTTCTAACTACAAGCAGGCACTTTGATAAGAGGAGATAACATCAAAAATAGCAGAAAACCCAGTTAAATTATCAGTACCAAAAGGACATTAAAGAAGAAATTGAGACAGGAAGAGGAGAAGTCAAGGAAAGAAACCAGTAATGAATTTACTACACAATCATCACTAAGACTACCGTATAATGGGAAGCACTCGGAAGTGAGTTCACTGTTTGCGGATATTTTCTTGACCTTCTTTTCCTACTTACCTAGACCTTTTTGTCCAGGGTTTTTAGCAAAGTTAAAAGTAAACTGATAAAAATCTTTGAACTTTATTGGATCTTTTAGCTCTTGTTCCAGTCTTGGCAATAGAGCTTTCAGTTTTTCTGTGGTGTCACACCTGTTGCAAAAGAAATTACGTTACTTGCAAATATTTAAAAAGTTTTGTCTCAGAACAATATCAAACAGAATAAAATCAAACAGTAGTTGAGATAAAAACAGAGCATCTTGTTGGTTAGCATTCTTTAAAATACATACAATCGTACTTTTTTCCCCCTACACAGTTCTAGGTGAAGTGTTTTAACAGGCATCCATAACTACACAACCCAAACAGGATTCAGTGGTTCCCTTTTCTTTCTCAATCTCTTCATGAGTTTATAAGCTCAAACAACAGACATTATTCTATTCTTAATGAATATATAAACCTCACTGAAATCCACTGTCCTCTCCCCTTTTATAGCCATTATAACACAAGGGTGAGGGGCTTTGTTTTAATTTAGCTAGACGTTACTTACTCCCTGCTCCCATATACGAAGAACCACATACTACATTAACAGCTAACCCTAACATTAGGGGACTTTCCAGCTAAATAATGAACTATTATTTGCAACCATCTTCTCTCCACTACGGTCCGCTCATGAATAAAACCTAGGAAAAAAATCAGCCTTTCCCAATGCCTCGAAGGCCAATGAACTGTTTAACAGCCTGATACAGGTAAAGCTAAGATAGAATCAAGTTACTGAAGTTCTAACAGAAAAATATCCCTTAGCATAAGGCTGAAGTATTTCTAGAAAAAGTATCTGAGCTGACAGGATGCAGTTTTGAAAGAAAAAAGGGTTTTCCCACACACCAAGAAATCAAATGAATATTCAAAGTTTTGGGGAGAGTACCAATACTTTGAATTACATCTAGAGATTCGTAGAGATGACAACAGTTTTCAAGGAACTAGCTACCATAATAAATTTCGTGCACTTAAAATTTCTCAATAGCCAAATGGTTTGTATATTTTCAAGCTTCAAGAATAATTTTATTAAAGGATGGATAATTATAGCAAAATGCATACAATGTAAACATGATTCTAATTGCCTTACATAGTACAGATAAAGATAAGCACTTTCCTGGCCTCCAACAGTATCCGGTAAGAAGTAAAGAATTCTGCCAACAGTCTTCTACTGAGAGCCTGTTTCATGGGGACTTTCTTGATCTACTTAATGGGGACACTCACTTATCGTACCTTCAGGATAGTTCTCGTTCCTACTCTACACACAGCATAGGGACTAAGTCTCAACCAACTTCATTTAAAATCTATGCTCAATGTGAAAAAACACCGATGCTGCATCTTCTATATGTAATAAAAACTGTCCTGAATTACCAACGAGCAGCACACTAGTTGCAACCAGGTGCGATCAGACTATACTCCCCAAAACCCGGGATGCATGTGGAGCAGAAAAGGGTTAAAATAACAGATCTCTGTTGAACTGTATCCAAGAGTCATGAGGACGTAGGAGCACAATGATAATGAGGAGACAAAACAAAGCCAGAAGCCACAGGTGGCTCAACAAAACCTTTTTGTCAGATATATCAGATAATGCTGGTATCCATTAATATAACAGCATGAGAACTTGATTGCTGTCCACGGCTAGATAGTGACATATTCTCACAGACTCCACCCAAAAATCAGATTGAAAGGGACAAAAATAAAGCAGTGGGCTTCAGAGGATAGCATTGCTGTTTCATCACATTTTCTGAATATCCTTACCTAAAAAGGAAAGCTTAGAAAGAGGTCAATAATTGATGAGGTCAGTAGCAACAGACCGCTAGGCCCCCTGCTCAAGAAACAACCATTGCATTTGATGGAAGTTGGCACCTTATTAATGCCTTTCTGCAGTGGACCAATCTAAAATCAAATTAAATTATATTAGCAACAAAAAGTATGCAGCCAAGTCATAAACTGTAGTTCTCCACCTGTCTAATGCAATCTATTCACAAATATCATTTTAACCCCTTTAAATATGAGTAATACTGCATCTCCTCCAAGTAAGTTATACACAAAATATTATATCATGGTGACAAATGCTTGATTTTGTTATTAAATAGAGGCAACATAGTTGGACTTATAAAGTCCACTATCCAGAACAGTTTCAAAATTCAGAAAGAAAAAGAATTTCCCAGTTATTTTGTCTGACTGGCATAACTTTTTCTACCGCTAATATCCTGAGTTTGACTTCAGTTTCTTAGAGATGTTCTGTACAATGAACTGTCTAGCATACAAGACAATAAAAGAAAACTACATTTGTAAAACCAGTAAAAAGTGGCATCTGATGATAAGATAAAGGCAAAACATTGATATGAGAGCAGATAAAACATGCAACCTTCAACACTAAGTCAATTCTATTTTTTCTTCTCCAGTGACTTGCAACTTTAACAGCACACAACTGAATACAAAAATCATAATGCAACTATGCATGTGCTTACATGAATTACATCAAAAGACCAACATATTGTCTTCCTGGCTGTACAGTTAGGAATTATTTTGCTTCACCCTTGCTGCAGTCATTCTTAAGATTTTGCAGTACAGCACCAGTTGAAGAAAGAGAGGACGCTACAGGTCTTTAGCACCTGTTGAGCTTGGCACCACCATTACCAGGGACTGAACAAATGACCTTTAACAGCTAAAACCCGTGAGTCTTGATAGCTTGTACTCCCTCTTATTTGCACCCTCTGAACGAGGCAGAGAGGATCACAAGACACACATTTACCAACAAAGTATGCAAGCGACACGTATTACAGGTTACTAGAAATATGCATTTTGGGAAACTAATCAAGATTCACAAAGGATAATTTGAAATGGTGCTGTCTGTGTGAATTATGTCATCTGGATTTTTCTCCTAGGTGATGGAAAAGGAAGTCTAACTTCTAACTAGTAAGAACCTAAAACTTGTTTAATCATTGTTAAATAAGGCACTGAGCAGTGAGTAAAAAAAGCACTGAGGAGTGGGTAAAACTACATTTTGTCCTGTTGCAGATCTAAGAACGTAAGCAACACTTAGAAGAGTTTAAGCTTTAACTTCTCCCTGTCAGCTTATGGAACTTTCTCTGATGAAAAAGTGGTAACAGTTGGTGTGCTGTCAACAGAGGAAGTTTTATTCCTCTAGCAGCAGCTCGTCTGCTTTAAGCGAATAGTCTCCATCCTCTCATTCCTATCGCCATCCTCCTTCAGCTATCTCAAACACTATCAATTGTTCGTAACTGCACTTTGAGGGGGAAGGAATGAGCCACTCTGAGTATGAATCTCTAAGATGGTAAGAAGGTAATCACTGTATGGAAATTAAACAGTAACCAATATACTGATTCAACAGCTTCATTTTTTTAAAATCAGTTTCTTCTATCAATTCATCTTTCAAATACCACCACAAAAATTCTGCAACTGCCAGTTTAAGTTCAGTAACTATTTTAACCATTGCAGGGGGATCCAGTAAAAGGTTTAGACTATCGAAATTAAAACAAGCTTGACTATTGTGTAAATCCAGCTGCACGGGATTGCAATCCTTTAATAGGTTCCCTTTTACCTTCCCAAGATGCATTTAGACAAATGCCGGTAGAGTGCAATAAAGCGTAGCTTACTCAGGTGTTAACAAAACAAGGCCACAAAGAGTTTTCAAAGCTTCTCATTTGATTCAATTACAAACATTGAAATAGAAACTGAGGTTAGGCCTTATGCTTTGAACTATGCAGAAATGGATACTCACCCCAAATCTGTCATGCCATCTACAAATTCCTTTCTACTGAATTCACATTGAGTAGCTGCCCTGAACTTCCATGCTACAACGAGAACACTGATACTGGCAGGATCCAGGCTTAAATCATCACAGAACTGTTGAATCCCATCAATGCCAATTTTATTTTCGTCTTGTGGGTCTGCAGTTCAAAATACAAATATGAGAATTACAATTATTCATTAAAAATATTTATGAATAATCACCAGCACAGCTCTGATATGCTGCATAGCATAGGTCTTCAGTTTTACCTAAACTTCACAAAACTAAAGTCTACTTGAAATCTAGTCAAGCTTAAAAGCACCTAAAGAGCACCTGTAAGTAGTTAGGTATTCAGCATGCTTCCCTAAGAACTGGCTTACATTTATGTCCTATATTCACCAGCTAACTTAACAAAAATAGTATTTTTTTTTTTTATTTCTGCATTGTTCTATGAAAGATCTAAATGAACAGGAGAAAATGCCCAACTATAGTTAAAAAAACGGTAAGGCTGATAAAATACACAACATATTGATCGGTTAGCACATGCCTAAAAAACAAAATCTAAAAAACAGCCTGTTAAAAAACTACCAAGTACGCCCACAAATTTTTTCCTTATAGTGACTATATGAGATGGAAAAAAAAAAAAAAATACTGCAACGGTTTAGAGATCAGTTAATTGAAAGATTCTTATTTTTTAATTTTAAGCCAGGGAAATCACCAAAACATTGCTCGAACAATGCCTTAACACAACAGTCTTAAGCTAAGCAACACAACTTAAGAAACATTACATTACAGCAGTATTCAGTTTAGTACTTTTTAGAGCGAGAATCACCCTTCACAATTACCTATGTTCTGTTTTATCACAACCCTAACATTAAGCTTATATTTATATAAGTTTATATAATAATATAAGTTTATATAATATAAACTTATATTATTTATAAATAACAAAATTTAAATCTAAAAGCAACCTATAAATCTTCCATATATAACTATATTGGACTCATTTGTGCCTCAAGTTATTAATTTCCTATAAAACATAATAGCTATTCGATTTTTGCTGTGGAATTTCAAAAAGACTGTAACAGAATTCTCAAAAAAAAAATCTACATGTAAACAGAGGTAACTTTCTTAAAAAAGAAAAATCATACCTTTCATTTTCAAAACATAACAGTTTACAAATCACAGAACTGTCTTTCGCAACTCTTGACAGGAAGCCATTTCAGTATACTTGGTTGCGCTTTGTAAAAAAGTATCTCTCAAGTAAATTTCACACTGACTCTTTAAATGGGAAGCTGGTAAGATTTTCAGCTGCATTATGTTTTAAGTCCTGATCCTACAAGCTGATCAAAAATCAAGTTTTTTGTTTTTGTTTTTCAAATAAGATCTCTTTCAGTTTTTCAGTCACTATCACAGTGGCAAAAATGCTAAAATTTTAAATAGCGGACAGGAAGTTAGTTTAGCAAATATCTTTACCAGTGGTATAATTCAGTTGAAATCAGGGACCTTTGTGCAGGAGGAACAAGTAAACATGGCTACTGTATGCCACATTTAGTTCTAAAACATGTAAAATTAATTTCTGGTATGTTTTGGAAATAACTGAAGAACTGAAGGCAAAAGGAGTACGGGTGTGGTGATCAATGGAAAAATTCTGATTGATTTCAACATAGACTATTCCATCTTTATCATTATTCATGGCATCCAGGTAACTAGGAACACACAAAAATGAAATTATTGTTTTGACAGAGATGCTAGATATTAAATAAATAAGAAAAATAAAGCAAAGATAGCACAGAAAGTGAAATACCTCTCATCTTACATTTCAAATATAATGCAATGTTTGTAGCATTCTCTAGGCGCTATAGGAGAAAAGAATTTCTTTTTGTCAAGAGGCCAAAGTGTAAAGCTTATGCAACATAAGAAAAAGGGAAAAGGCGCTTAACCAAACCTTTAATTATTTCTTTCAAACACTTGAAAGTTTTAAGCTCACGTTTTACTGTCATCTCTGTGTCAGAACTGCAAAGTTGTGCTGCTAAGCAGAACAAGGACACAGAACTGAGTAAATAACTTCCCTCCTCAAAAAACAAATGGGGCAGTTTTCCACTGCTAGAACATTATGAAGAATAAATAACATTTGTGATTTTCTTCTTTAATTTTAGATACTTTTAGTAGCATTTATCAATTTAAATGCACTTTTGACCAAGCACTGTTTTAAACTGACCTGCAAAGATCAAAGGACTGATATATACCAAAAAAAAAAAAAGCAGATTACTTGTTGAATTCTTTTTCACATACGCAAAGGAAACGCTATAGTTTTGCTGATATTTTTGCTGATTTGCTGCAATTCATTAACACTTTATAATGAAATACTGAAGAATATCTGCATTTAAAATGGAACACATATTTGAAGAATAACAAAAAAAAGGCAAAAATAGTACTGAAAGGACAGGATGAAGTGAATATAAAGCCATCCATACACTAAAATTAGAAAAGTACATAAAATCATAGTTGATTATTGACAGTCCATTTTTTTTCCAACATAATATTTTTTTGGATCTAGGTAGTGGCTAGTAATGATTCCAACTTGCTCTGCGCTAATGTTTAATAAACAATGCATGTATTCATGTGAGATGACCACAGTTCAAAAAGCTCTGTTACCTGTATCTCATAAATTCTTACGTTTACTATCTTTTCCTTTTATTTTTTCCTGTTTTTTTAAATAATATTGTAAAATAAAAAGAAATGGAAAAGAAACAACTCTGCCTTTAATCCACTTCCTTGTCATTTTATCTCAAAAATCTCTCTGAGCAACAGGAACATCATTTGTCCTGTAACATGCAAGCATGAAGAATAAATTAAAGATGCAATTTTCAAGCTTAATTTTTGAGTTTTATTGCTTGGTTGTTCTGTTAGATTCTTAGCCATAATACTATTTTAAATGTTTTTAATTTTAATGGATAGGAATATTACTACCTTGGAACTAAATTAACTCTCCCAAATATTAGTATAGGAATCATTTGTATTGTTCTGCCACACACAGTGCATCGTACATATGTTTCATAGCAGCCACCAGCAAAAGATCAAGTGAGTTGCTTCACTTTCCCTGCCACCATACATAGCTGACGCTTATTTCCTCATCATAGGTTTAATTTCCTATTGTGAATTTACTTTGAACTCTACAGGTGTAGGGAGAAGTTATGTAGTGAACATCAAGAGCATTTAAAACATTTTTCATTCTTATCTCACTGCCACATCCATATAGGTAGTAGCAGAAGGTAGCAATCTTGCCTTAGAAGTCCTTACAAATGGCAAATGAAAAAGCAGAAATAACACCGAAATGAAAAAAACGAAAAGAAAAAAGCCTTACCTTTATATCGATTATACAATTGTTCTAATTTCTTCCGGTCTACTGAATTTTTCATGGATTCTTTGTAGTACAAGTCTGGATTTTGGAAGTAGTTGTCTGTTGCCACTTCTAGTTTCCATTCATTCTGCATTAAGCAGTATATAGCAGTCCTTTCACCAGCCTGGGTAAATGCCATAAACTGGCGGACCTTGTCCTTCTGAGACGATTTAAGCTTATGCTTTGGGATGCAAAAGAAGCAGGAAAGCCAATGAAGCTAATCCAGAAGTTTGTTTCAGCATTCTACTACTAATACCTATGTTTAAACGTTTTAGTTTTCTTGTTGGTGACAACTTTCACTTCAGAATTACAGGAAGACAAAGCCTTGTTCTTCTGCAGTTAAAAGAGACAGCATTTTCTTCTGAAAATTGAAATGATAGCATCTATATGTACATTTTTAGCAGCAAATATTCTGGCAACAACAAATTCATATTTCTGCTTTACTGCTCCCATGTGCAAAAGTCCTTTTCTGTTCTGTACTAGTAAACACACATTTTATCCTATGACAACACGGTTATCTTCTGAAAAATAAGCCTATTAATTATATAAATAAGAAATTCCAAAGGCACAACTCTCAGAGTCTGTATAAAAGCCCTTTATAAGCTGCGAGAAAGACAGAAATCTGCTTAACGGTTTTTCCTAATATTTTCCTAGTGCAATGCAAACTTGAACCATTTTAAGTGATCAGTTACAAGCATTTCTCACATTTTTATGTTAGAAACCATCAACTATTTTCATCAGAACATGTAAGAGCCAAAGCAGACATGCTATAGATTTGCTGAATGTTAAGAGTGAGAATATAAAGTTCCTGTAGATGTGACCTAAAACTTTAATGACCTCTGGCAGATGTTCATACTATTAATATTAAACAATAAAACAATCTAATATCACTATATTATATACAGGAACTAGTAAGATTTTCCTCTTAATTGCAATTAATTGCAGCAACCTTACCTATACAAAACCTTTAAACTTCTGGAAAATCTGAGAGGTGGAAACGGCGATTTTATGGAGAGCCAAATTTTTTTTTATAACATTGTTCTTTGCATAAAGTTGGAAGGAGAGGGAGATAGACGGCTTAAACTCTGTCTTTTATTATGTTTTGATACTTTCTGTTTTGTTAACCTATATTTAACAGATATTCTGGGCCAACAATGAGGTTTTCTGAGAAAACATCTAACTTGCTGGCTACTACTTAAATCATCAGGTGTAGTAGAAAAGATCATTTCACTGGTCTCTTAAATATCAGGGGAAAAAACACTGTATCACTGATTCAGGGTACGGTAAACTGTAAGCACACAAACATCTTTCAGTTTAGTTATCTCTTGTAAACATATGGATGGCGACTTCTTGACTACAGATGATCCCAGACAAGAATCACATTACGTAAACAACATATGGATGTTGGAAAAAAAAATTCCCTAGCTTTCTTCGATGATATAAAAAAGGAGAAGCAACACACAAAATGGGAGAAGAGCTACAAAAGTAACTACTATGTATTTTGGCAAGAAAATACTCAGTAATTCCTTCTTTTGCTTTATTTCTGTAAGTTTCCGTATGTAACTCCCTTTTTCTTAGAGTCTAGCTATAATAATTTCTCTGCACCAAAACCCTCATTTACATAAGTTTCTTTTGAGTGATGAATTTAGTGATGGCCCCTTCAAAACTGAAGTCTTTGATAACAACTCCACAAGTAGGACATCTCCTCATAGAGGTCTACTTATTCCATGTTCAAGAAGAAATACTAAGTTATTTGAGGAAGTCAGAGACACAAACACGTTAGACTATCCAGCCTACCACACTGCCATATAGTACAGTTTCTGCTGTTTTGCTGAGCATTTTAATGCCCTGAAGACAGACATATCAATGTAATCTCTTTACTGAGGGGGAGAAAAGGTCTAGAAGTCATGTTTCTGGCATGTCTTCTTCCTAACGGAAGGACATTCCAAAACAAGAGGTGTATTTCCAAGTCACGATGAAGTCATGTTTTAGATGCCCTCTCAAAACAGTACTTACGTCACACTGAAAAACCAAAGGAAAAACGCTACAGTTAAATCGCGTTTAGGCGCCATTTGAACTCTTCCCAAACCAGGTTTGATCGCTTTCTCAACGAATCGCTGCTGCTTTTTCAGTCAAGGTCTAGCATAAGCTGCGGTGGCCTTGACGGGACGCTCAGCAGATCACGTACTTGCTCCCCTTTCCTCATGCCACATCCTTTCCCCCCCTCCCCCCCCCACCGCGTCCTAGCAAGGTAATTTTCTACTTCACCTTCTGTACGGCCTTCAGCTTCGCTATGAGCCGTAGCGGCGCGGCCGGACTGATCCCCGGCTCCC